TTTCCAGGAGCTACTAGTAGCGTCCGATCGCTCCTAGTAGCGATGCCCTTTGTTCCTAGTAGCTTCTTGTTCCTAATAGTAAGGCCAGGAGCCCCGTTCGTAGCCTCCAGGCTGCAGGGACGATCAAGGTCCTCATGGACACTCGTGGCCCCGAGATTCGCACCGGCTACTTCGAGGCCCGAAGCGGCGACGGGGTTGGCGACGGGGTTTTATCAAGGCACTTAGCCTAGTCCCGCTCTGGGGCTTGGTGTGGGCTTGGCGCAACTCAGGTGACCTCAGGTGACCTCAGGAGAGCTGCTGAAGATGTTGTTCATTTTATTTTTTTCGCGAAGTCCTGTGTTTGAGAAGCGCTTTTTTGGAAGTGTTGCGCCAAAGCTGGTGGCCCTGCCTGGCCCTTGTTGCAAGATCCTATCGTTGATTCACCTCGTTGCATGTGTTCCTTATCTGGTAGGTCTACAATGAGAAGAAGAAGCCGGACTCCTCAGGGGCGGCCATCCCGGGCGGGCTCAGGGTGGCGCCGACTGCTGGCACATTCGGGACCCCTCCATTGGTCGGGAAGCTTCTCGGTGGGATTCTCAAGCAATCGAGTGTGATTGAAGCAGGACTAGGACTGGTGTTCTTGGTGGTTTTTCCCTTTTCCCCAGATAGCTGAAAGCTTTAGGGTCTTACTTCTCAATGACTGGGTGGTTGGTCGCCACTGCTGCCTTGCCTCCCCACTTGTCTTCTTACACGTCTCCTCTGCGGGCGCGGAGCCCAACGAAAAGAAGACGAGATTTGTGGAGTCATGCGGAGAGGTGTTGTTGGACCCACTGACTGTCACCGGAAGCTCTCACGTTATAGAATGTTATAGATTCTTTGGCTGCTTGCTTGATGTATTGTCTCAGGTGCTTCTGTTTCTTAAAGTTCGTTGCTATGTGGGGTCTATGGCAGTGTAATTTGGGAACCGTCAGATGCCTGATCTCATGATCAAAAATCCAGATGATCCAATTAAAAGGAGACCCATCATGGCTGCCAAAAAACAACCGCATAAAAAACAACCGGTTCCCTCAGTGTGCGAGAAAAAGGATTGTTCACACAGTGGTTGGTTGAAAAAACGGGAAAGCGATGAAAGCGGACGGAGGTTGAAAGCGATGCCCTTGTTCCTAGTAGCTTCTTGCTCCGTTCGTAGCGATGCCCGGAGCCCCGTTCGTAGCGTCCTCTTGTTCCTGAGCGGACGGAGGTTGAAAGCGGGACAATCCTTTCGACTCCTCACGGACTATAGCGTGAAAGGCGCTTGTGCCGGGCCCCGCTTGTTTCGGGAGGGCATCCGCCGGGTTCATAGGCACGTCATGCACGGTCATGAGGGTTATCATGTGAGGAAGTATGACCATAGGTTGGGAAGCACGGTCTGGTTTTGGGTCATTTGGGAGCTTAGCTGCCTTTTTTCAAGGTTCCAATCGAAGAATGTCCCTCCAACATGCCCATTGTCCTTGGACGACTCAAGAAGAAGGGTCTCACTAGAAGAACAAACATCCATAGCCTGTCCATTGACCAATTGAGGTCATGGATGCACTCAAGAAGATAGGACAGACACCAAAAGTGGAGTACATGGACCTAGAAGCTCTGGACTTTTGCGGGGCCGACAGTTGGAGATAATTCTCTGACCGGACAAAAACTTGCATCGTGCAACGATTGACGTTTGCCTATCTCCATCTGTACACGAGCACCCTACACAGTCCCAGCGAGACGATACCCGGAGGTTCTTACTTCCAAGACTCCAAATTGCCAAAAGGTGATCCTCCCCAACATCGCAAATGTCAGTTTCAGGATCCAGAGCTCTCGTGGAGAAGAAGAATTCAAGATCTTTCATGATAATTCAAAGCTACCCGGATCTACCCGGACTGGATTGATATTCCCACGTGATGGTTGGGCCCAACCCGTCAGGCGATGAGACTCAAGTGGCGATCACCTACAAAGAACTTCCGCAGGACGATCTCAGACGGTCTGGACAGGTGCATTGTCCTTGCACCTGCGTTCCACCAGGTCTCAAACGGTCTTGGGTTCCACCAGGTTCCTCGAAAAAAATCCATGAAATGACTGGAGTCGTTGGTTGTCCTTGCTGTTGCTACTGCGCTGTTGGGACATGCAGCAGAGCTCAGTACAAAACCCAACCTTCTACGTCTTGTTGGATAAGGAAAAGCCGTCATTTTCATGGAGGCACCACTCAAATTTCATACCAGGAGCAAGGACGCTACTAGGGGCTCCTGGCCTTTCTACTAGGAACAAG